TAATCCCCGTCCTCTTCGCAGGTTGCACTTGGTGGAACCTGCGAAGAGGACGGGGGGGGCCCGAATCCACATGTTTCACTGTATCCACAATGGGAAGTATAGACTTGCAATTTTCATTAACGATTCCTCTGACGGAAAGGAAGGATTATGTTCATGATACCTAGGAGTCGACAATTTATCTCAAAATGTGTCCATTTTAATTGTGCATGATGATGAATTTTTTTTTTCATTTTTTGTCAATCCTGAACCTAACATGCTTTCAGCTCTCAGAAAATTCAAAACTGTTAGGAACCGATTTTTTGAGACTAATGTCTCGAGATTTGAGTATGAGGATCGATGGAGTCTGCTTCTGGCAAGGCATTAAGTCCTACAGCCACTCGTGGCCTATGTACCTTACCTTTCATGAATAGACCAGTACCCCACAAATGCAATCAAGAAAGCTTAATCCGAGAGCCAATCTCTGCTGCTAATAGCCACATGCTACTACAAATTGTGAGGGAAAAAATGAATACAAATTAGTTTGCATATTGTTTATAATTATTCCAACGTCTTCAGTGCAGAGGAACATGAAAGCTTGATATCACATCACAGAAAACCCATCACATAAGAGAAAACACAATATCACATTGTAAAGTCTAACGTCAGAAAAAAAGAAACCATCACGTTGTGCAAGGGAGATATGTGAACTTCAAGCATGGCTTTGAGTGCAGATCTATATTCAAATGATCTGAAACCACAGTCACTGGAATGCATAGTCAAGCAATTCACAAGGCATTTGATATTGAGAAAGTTCTAAAAAATACAATTTATGGAAGAACATAAAAATTAGAGTAACTGAAACATGGCTGCAGGAATGAGAGATTCTGAACATCTCTTCTAATCAAGTAATCTTCCATACTGGACAATTTGCAAGGGTGAATGAAGAGGGAGGTCTCAGTGGGCAAGCTGAATGTCATTAAAGGCACAAGAAACAGGTGCTACCATTTCTATGGTGGCTTTCATTGACTTTCATGAATCCAGGTACTGTGCAGACAGCCTGCTGGGTGTATTTCCCAAGCTTTCTGGATATATGAATACATTGTGGCATGTGAATGATGATAGAATAAATCCTAATAATCACCACTGGCTATTTTTTGCCTGCCTATCTTTTCCCTAAAAATTTAGTTTTTCGTGAGGAAGTATTGGAAACCGTATAACCCATAACAGAGGAATGCATAAGTGGAATGTGATGATCTGGTGAGGAATGTGGTTTTGGTGTCTGGCCTGACTTAGATCTCAATGACCTTGGCACCTTCGACTGGTTGACAGATGAAGAATGTGGCCCCTTTCTTATATTTAGATTGAATGTGGGATATGACTCCTTCCACACTGCTTCGTTTCAGCTGTTGGGAGAAATTAAATGAAATTGAATTGAAACAGGTAGAAGAATTCAGCAATCCTGATTCAAGAATCTGTAAGGAAATGAATTCGTACCAATGTAACGGTGCAACCACCAAATCCACCTCCAGTCATACGTGACCCATAGACTCCATCAACTTCAATGGCTGCATTGACCAGTTCGTCCAATTCCTTGCATGACACCTCATAATCATCCCTACAATCAAGTATGGCAATTGAGAAACACACCATGGACTGGAGAACACAGTCTTTCAAGCTTAGCCTTAGTTTTTTAGTGCTTCCCTATGTAAGGCAGAATAATTTATAAAGGAATTTGGAGTTGAGTGAAAGTTGCCAATGCAAAGGTGTGCACCTGATGTAAACAGCCAACCTCAACTTCTCCCAAGGAGAGATATTAGAATTTTCTTGCAGAGTTTCTAATTCATAGTCCATCAACTGCTAATAGCATAGGGAACCTAATGTTTTCGAGAAAGATCTTGAAGCCTTGGGTTCTACAGAAGGAGTCTAACAACTTAGTATGGTCAGAATCAGATTATTCTCTCATTAAACTTTGATTCCCAAAATTCAACAAGGAACCATCACGCAAAGAGCAAATTGGAATTTTTTCTAACTTTAACCACGTTTATTGTCATTATTGTCAAGTCATTTTTGAAAAATACATTTGATTAGAACAAATGGGAGCTCTCAAGCATAGCAAAATACAATAAAACAAAAGAAGTTGTTGGGAAACCTGAGAGATTCGTGACTTTCCACCATGAGCTTCCCAAACTGGTTGTAATCCTTTAGCTTGAGAGCATCTGCAGCTTTCGATGTCCTCTCTATCTCCGTGATGACATGACGTGCACGCTGTAGCTTCTTGGGATCCAGCACTCCTGCCTTTTCTAAGAACCAGAAAAATAAAGCATAATACCATGCCCTTCGTTAAAGGTAAATTATTTGGTAGTACTCCCTCACATAAAGTATTACAAAAAGCATCATCTTGCCCATCACCAGAGGACATGATGGGATGGTGCTCAGCATTTAGGAGCATGCTGCACACTTGCAACAAAAAGTGCATACTATGCACATTTCAATCAACACTTATGCACTTTGTATCTCTACTCCCAATCCTGCTCAACCAAGACCCCACACATATGGCTGAAAGCATGGCACACCACTTACACTGGATTGTGTGGTTTTATGTCTCAGGCAAGGATGGGCAACTTTATCTTTTTAAAATAGGCATTGAAAAATCACTTTTTCTGAAGCAAATTTTTAAAGCTGCAGCTCATTCATTGCTGCTTTGGAGTACCCCCAACTATCACATGTTGGCAAACGAGCATGCATGAAAAGGAAGCAATAACGACTATCTTCTGATTCAATGGTATCAATGGTAAGAAATAACAAAGAGGATGAACAAGAAAGCGTAGTATAGAAAATTATTTTAAAGTTTTATATTATCTCTTTTCCTCATTTTTCAATGAAAAAGAAATCTTAACTCATTTCCCAACTGTTCTAATTGCACAAGCCCATAATTGAAAAGTGCTGCAACAAAGGTTAAGAAGTACCTTTCCCTGTTCCAGGAGCATGGCCTTGCAGTGACCACAACATACTTATTGAAAAATGTAAAGAAATATAATTTCATAATCTTGCTAAGTGGAAGAAGTACTGTTACATGTTGTAAGAATAAGTAACATTTTTGCAGTGATAATTACAATATGTCACTAGCAAAACAAGGTATTTCTTAATACTCAACTTCAATTGTGTATTAAGAAATACCCTGTGCTACTCAAAGCATCAAGCTCTTTCCAGTTAAAGGGAGTCAATGCAAGAGAAATGGAGGACTGGCAAAAATCAGCATGAATGTGTCCCTGGATCCATTTCCATGCACTCCAGAAATCAAGAATCTTTCCACTGACAGTGTGTTCTCTGTCACCAGGCATCTCAATCAACACATTGCAGAACTCCCAATGTCACTTTAAGGCACAAACAAATTCATGGGTATCATTTATCAAAGACCATATCAGGGCTCTTAAAATTTGCTTTCACAATGGGATAGGCAGAAAAAGGTACCCATCCTCATACCACTCAGACTGCCAATGCTTTTGCATTTCTTCCTTCCTCTCCCACCTCTTATAATGCTTAATTGGGTAAGATCAAGGCATGGTGAATGGTTCATATCATTAAGAACCATAGTAAGCATTGTTTCTTTGTTGCCAGTAAGACACCTTATTGTGATATTTCTTGTGATGGGAAACATGGCCCTTGCCTACTCTCCAATTCATCATGAATGGGAAATTATGCAACAGTAATCATCCCAGCTCTTTGTCAGGTAATGACACAAATTGTGCCCTTCTAGTATTTCAGCTAAAATCAGAAAGCTGTTGCCTCACCATCTAGTTGTTGAACACTCAGCTCTCTAAGGGACTTGACACCAAAGACTTGAGCAACTTCTTCGCAGTGCTTTCTCCTCTCGGGATATTCACTTCCCGACAGTTCGTGTCGAACATTTGAATTCGTTACGAGGATGGCAATGTCAGGATCATTCAGGGGAACTTGCTCCCAGTCCATGGACCTAAGAGAGACATAAAATTGTCAGTGGTGGAAGTGAAGAAGTGTCAATATTTGAAGCATTTAAAAGTTCAGACAAATTCCAAATTTTTTCTTTGCTAATACAGGGTGAGCAAAAGAAAAAGGACAGTTTTCAACCATATACTATACTACACTCACAGCAGTGTGCTGCAACACAGTTTTTGTTTGTTGTTCACATGAGCTCCTGAATTTCTAAAACTGTTAACATATATTTGAAATCCCATTTTATCCATTTTATTATGTGTTCATTCCTCTTTGAAATGCCATAAAATGCACTAAAATACCATGCAGTGAGTGAAGTAGAGTGTATTATTAAAACCTGCCCAGCTTTTTTTGGCACACCCTGTATTAGGTAGAATGGGACAAAAAAGATATGTAACTAGCAAGATAATGTGTTTTGTATTTTTTTATTAGCAAGACCACCATTTAGGATGCAAGAGTTTTTGGATGGTATAATGTGCAAGGGGTCATATGTGAGATTTACTTTGGTTCTAAAATATACAAAATAAGTATCAAGCAGGTATTTATCGAGATCTACAGGCCAGATAACTGTAACTGCTACCTGCAATCCAGAAGCAGAGCATGTCCATGCTTGGCCATGACAGCAATGAATTGGTCCATGATCCCACAGGGCATCCCCGCAAAATCATGTTCTGCCTTTTGACATTTCAATGCCTTCTCTGTCAAACTGCAGCATGAATACATCAAGGTGCATCATTTACCTTTTAATGGTGGAGATCATTTCTCAAAAGACATGCCAAGGACCTTACCTTGAAGCATTTGACTTCATCAATGCTTCCAGGAATGTATAGAAAGCAACCTCCAGTGATGCACTGCTTGACAATCCTCCACCAAGAGGAACACTTGTGATAATCACAGCTTGGAATTCCTTCACTGGCTCTGGGGAAATACATCAGGTGCAGAATATGTCAAGGAAAAGACTATGTCAAATTAATAAACTGTATATAAAATAAATGCTTGGTAATTTGATTTATAATCAGGAATACATGACTGTACAATATCACCAAAATTAAGGCAGGCCTATGGGTTGAACCTTATTTGCATACCATTATGGAGACTAAAACATTAAAAATGAGCTTTTCACTTTATTGGAATGTACCAGTATACACATTTTCCAGATGAAGAGCACAAAACATAACAGGACTGCTTCGTTTGGTCTCTCCAACAAAGTTTTGACACTAGATGTTTTCATACTTTTCTAGAGATCCTCTTCCTTATCAATGAGAGCAATATTGTACAAACCCATAGATACATGCAATGCCTAAACTGACCATGGAAATTAGCAATGACTCCTTTCACATAATTGGCCCACTTAGGAGTTCCTGGCTGCAGTCCATCTTTAACGACAAACTCAACGAGACGAGGCTCATCGGCAGCATCACTCATGGTATACACCTGGCTCTTCCCATCTTGGCTCTCCCTTCCAACCACAACTGTAACCATGGGTACAGCCTAGAAGAAAAATGAACTGCATCTTGGAGCTATCCTTGACTTTGGGAACAGATTTAGAGGGACAGTTTTTTCAATGAAATGTAGAGTCAGTTGAGACCTATAATGTTCTAAAACTCCTTACTGGCAATGTGGAGGAAGTTGTCTCAGTGAGAAAAAATTACAAACAAGAACATAGTTTACTTCATGCATTAGTCCAACCACAATCTATAATATTGAATTTTAAAATAATTATTTCAATTTTTCCATAATGCCTGAGAAAAGGCCAAATACCTTTCAAACTTGTCATGAGCAACCACCTCCAGCTAATAAGTAGTCCCAAACAGCACCCTACTATCTGCTCATTGATAATCAACAGCATTTTTCACTCGAATAAGACAACTTTTCACTTGAATGAAGACAATCATGCATGAGGAATATAACTTGCACAAATGTCTTGCACAACTATTCATTGTTGTCATGACTCTTCTTTTTGCTTTTCATTACATCTGCTTATGTGAAGCCTACGCACGTGAGATACTGAACACACATCGCTAATTCATGTGGTGCAGGCCGATCTAGTTTTTTTTTCCTCTCTCTAAGTATTTTTGCGCGCGTACTCTTCATTAATGGTAGGCCTGTCTATGGCTACCAAACTTTCTTCCGCAACCATTATGCCCATGCTATCGGCCTCACTTAACAATCTGTGCCTAATAGGCAGTCTTATTACTAAAAAAAAAAAAAGTCCTGTTAGACACTAAATATTCCTGGCTAACGTAAGGCCATTATTATTCGCATACCATTGGAAAAACGAAGCCTCCATTGTAATCGGTGTGTTCCCCTATTAAATTGACTCTTCCAGGCGCAACAGCTGCATAGGCTGGGAGTTCCCCAAACTTCTCTTCGAACTTCAACTTCGCATTTTCCAAGATTGGGGCCACGTGCCCACTGACTCCCGCCATGTTTCCAAGTCGCCTGCTCGCAGTGATGTCAGATAGTAATTCTGTTAAATCCCATTCAAATCTCATTTTCTTCTTCACTTCAAGGAAATTTCCCATTCACATTGTTCCAAAACACTATTAATTTTTAACCGTAAACATTTTTGTTCGAAAAAGCAATCGAAAGAGCATCTTTCTCCTCTCCGCAAAGCCAACATTGCCCGATGAGACAACACCGAGAGGGCATTGATTCTATCATGGCCTCCCCGTTGGAGAACCTGGAAAATCATCTGGAGACGTTCATCGAGAACGTTCGTCAAATCGGGATAATCGTCAGCGACTTCCAACCACAGGGACAAAATGTTCTCAATCAAAAAATGTAAGCAGTAGGCCTAACCCTTTCCCATTGTGCAACCGGAGTTGAAGGCCAAAAAATAATTTTGCGCTGAAAAGGCTGTCTCATCCCGGCTTCAAATCTCATCCTGTCATTTTCTCAAGCTTCATCAAGAGAGATTATTGAAAATTTGTCATTCTTTTTCTTTGTTTCAGTCAATCAGTGATCCATGGGTTGCAGGAGATTGACCGTCTCAGACCCCAAGTCTCTGACACCCAAATTCCCCTGGAAGTCTTTGAGTGAGTCATTATATGGAGATTCTCAATTGAATTAAGTATCTATTCATTTGGGTCCAGCTCGTTTCCGTCGGATTACTATGTCCACTAGGATCGCTATATGGGGCAATATGAAATTTCCTTTGAGAACAGTTGAAGTTGAGCATGCCTTAGCAGGCCAGGCTTAGAGCTTATTTAATTTGCTGATGAGTCCTTGCATTGACTTTGGAATACGTTGAGGACATATTGATTGTGTTGAAGATGTCAAAGCTAACTGAACTGTAACATTTAAGAGGAAATCTCATATGCCCAAGGGTGAAATGGTAATAACTCTGTATGATCTGAGAGTTAAGTTAAAGATGAAGTTTAGGAGACTATATTGTGGATTTTGTAAGATGGATTTATCACAATAGTAAAATTTTTTTCTTTAAACAAATAGATTATCATGCATACATATAGTCCTTTCTTTTATTTTTTGGTATTGGATGATTAACTGTGCCTTCCCATTCCATTCACCTCGAATAAGGTGTGTGACAGGGTCTTAACTCAGGGCCCTTTGTATACATGGTTAATTTAATTTTTTTTTAGAAAAGAAAAGGCTGGTTCCCATTTTCCTAAGAAATTGTATCTGTAGGTAGCCAGGGTAGGTTTCACATGTCTGTTGTTATGGAATGTCTTTTTGTGAAACGTTTTGTCATACTTTGAAATGAAATAAAAATTAGAGGTTTCTTACCAGCTGAAATGCCCAGCCAGCAGTTTTTTTTGCCCCATAAGTATCCACACACCTCACAAAAATTGGTGTATGGCTCGCTGATTTATTCATTGTTTGGCACCATGGTAGCAATATATTCCATGTCCTTGTCATATCACATGGAGAACCAATGTGTGGTTTTGGCATCAAGGTTACATCTTGATCCTGTGGTCCTGCACGGAGCCCCAATCTGCGATGCATTTAACACCTGCTGGTGTTTCTGAAGTCCAAAATCCACAAGCATGTCGAAAAATCTCTTATTCTGCATTAGCTACAGGAGCTTATGATGACAGAACGAAGGAAGGTCTTGTAATTTCCATTCAGAAGATCAGATGGCATGCCTCAGCTGGTTCCATAGGTCCTAAACATTGTTTGGCCTGCTGCTGTTAAGACTCTCCATTCAGCATGGTGTTGGATATTTTTGGCTAGATAGAGTTTGTGCTTGTAATCCCTTCACAGTAAAAAATGTATCAAAATGTGATTTCAGTCATAATCATACCTGTCTCATCCTATGCATGCTGGTTCAGTTGAGTGGTATATAAATAATATGCTTTTTTATTTTTATTCACAGCTACATTGACCAAGGGAGAAATCCCCAGCTCTACACCAAAGACTGCATGGAGAAGGCTCTTGCAAAAAACGAGCACGTGAATGGAAGGATCGACGCTTATCAAAAGTTCAAAGCCCATCTTCTGGTGGAGCTGTCGGCCGTATTCCCGAACGAGATGGCGTCCTACCGGGCCATCCGCAGGGACGAGCGACCGAGCAGCTGACCGTCTCGTTGGCAAATCTCCTTGACCTATTGTCTGTTTCCAAATTTTTCATATTTATACATTCTGCTTGCAGCATTGGAAGTAAAGAATTCCTCATGCAATACAGGTATATTCCTTGCATTTATTGATTTCCAAAATTCCCTTCTTCTTGCAGCTGAATAATTGTGGGTTTTATTTTTTATTTTTTCTCAGTTACTCCGAAGTAATGTGTTTCGCCTGCCTTATTGCCCCACATAGTGTGACATGCTGTTCAAAAATGAATTGAAATGCCAATTTATTCCACCATGAGTCTGTGTGCTGGCAGAGGTGGGGCTTGCTTGCAGAATTGATTTCTAAACCTGCAGCTTGGGAAAGCATTTTGAGGGGGGGGGGAGTTCCATTAGGGGGAACTGTTTGATAGCAGAGTATTAAGAAGTATTTTCTTTTCTCTTATGCGGTTTTTAATATTTCAAAGATCCAACTCCATTAATTGATGAATCATAATTTAGTCAATTTTAAGAATAAGCCTTATGTTCCAAACAGGTATTCTTGAAGAATTTTACGGACTCATCACCCAATTATTGAACCTCAGAGGTTCATGTTCAACATGTTCATGTTCAACAAAATCACAGATGCGATTGAGAGCGTGTGGCAGCTGAATTGCATTCCAGAGGGGAAGTTCAGTTGAATTGCGCATATTCTTCAAGCTGTCGGACTGAGTTCCTTTCTGTTCTTTTAACCAGCCTTTTGCTGGATATATCCTTCTAAACTTGGTGGGCACTTTACTGTTTTTTTTTTTGGGGTTGATGAAACATGCAGAGTTTGGTGCTTGGATTTGGTGTAGTGGTAGGTCTCTTGCGATATTGCTTCATAAGGAAGAAGAGAGGATTTCTTTTCAAAGTTTGCATTGGGAAAAACATGTTTTCTTGGTGAACGAGAAAACAAAAAATGTTTTCGATGAACTTGCTGAATTCATCGAATCGGGGAATGCCATGCAATGAAATCGCCTTGGATCCAAAATGAACTCTTGAATGAATGTTTCAATGAATGTCAAAATCGCGGGAAATGAAAAGTTCGTGTTGAGGTGAATGACTTCTCAAGGACTAATGGTATCCCATTTCATTTCTTGTTGACCCTGGCCTCCCCCTTCAAAATTTTCTCCCCGGTCTTGTCTCATTTGGTCGACACGACCATTAATTTTTAAAATATTTTTGTGACAGAGCTGGTGGGAAAGTTGCAAAGAAAAGTCCAGCGTTTAACAAATGCCTTTCTTCTCACGACACAAAATCTCTCCAGTGAGGTACAGGAATTTCTCTCACCACAATCACTCCCCGTATCAAAATAAGATCGTCGACGGACCGACATGCACCATGCATCTCATGACTGGCTCGTGGGCAAAGTGCGACGAAATTTGAAACAAAAAGCGACGAAAACGCCTTGCGCAGATATCGAACACTGGCAATTCAAAACATCTACATTCCTCACTATTTTCGGTCGGCATCTGAATTTAATTCGGATTCCTCTTCGACACAGCCATGAAAACGAAAATCGAAGCAAAAACCGATCGGCCCAGACCCCC